CCTGGGCACCCCTGACTCCATACCCCTCCCCCAGGGCTTTGCCTTCATCAGCTTCCACCGCCGTGAGGATGCCGCACGAGCCATCGCTGGGGTGTCTGGCTTTGGATATGACCACCTCATCCTCAACGTTGAGTGGGCCAAGTAAGACTTCTGCCACACCCCCGCCTACCCCTACCTTTCCCAGCCAATACTCGGGTTGACTGTGGGCCCCACATAGTCCCTAAGCCTGTTCTGAGCTACAGGTTTACTGTCTTTTCCTTCTCGAGGGGCTCACTGCTCATCTGACTGTGTCGTCGTCCCCCCTCCCCCACCCCACTGTCATGGAGGCCCCACGTGTGTGTGGCAAGGGGTCTTGGAATTCCCTTCAGGGCCTGGAGCCCTCGCACTCGCTGTCCTCATCACCGGTCTCTCTCTCTAGGCCATCAACCAACTAAGCCAGTTGCCACCTTTGCTGCTGCTTCTCGGCCCCGGCCCCAGGACATCATGGCCCTAGAAGGCAGTCCCCGAGAGCCCGGGGCTCCCGGCAATAAAAAGGCTCCAGTTGTCACATTCTATCTCGTTTATTCACGGCTGTCACCTGCTCTGTGGCTAGCAGGGCCAACCCTCCCTAAGATCAGTGCTATAGGCAGAAGTCTCCCACTCTGGCCCCCAACGGGTCTTTCTGTAGGGGAGGAAGCGGTGGTTTGGGACGGCTCGGGGCTGGGGGCCTCCCAGGCTCTCGGCTTCCATTCTGCTGCCAGTCTCAGTGACTTGTGGTGAGAAGGTGGCAGCTCAAACTAGGTCATGGGCCAAGGTCAGGGGATTAGGGCCCCAAGGTGTGGGGAGTGGCTGTGATCTTAAGGGGCAGGACTTGGCCAGGTCTCCCAGCATCCTCCTCCGGGGTTCGGCTCCCCGTGCAGCCGAGGCAGCTCTGGGGGCAGCAGCCCAGGCTGGGTGCCACGGCCATATAGAGCAGTGGGTGGAGGCAGATGGCCAAGGGCATGAGGCCCCGCGTGACCTGGTGGCTCACGTAGGTCCTCCAGTCCAGTGCTGCCCGGGCCTCAGCCTCGTTGGCAAAGGTCGGGCAACGGGTCCTCCAGCGCTGCCGTGCGTGCACGTTGAGCACCTGTGTGACGTAGTAGGGCACGTAGGAGCTGGCATAGAGGGCCAGGCCGCTGGCCACCAGCACCACCACACGCAGCTTCTCAGCCGCTGTCATGCCGTGGCTGCGCAGCACCGCCCACCCGAGGGCACCGTAGGCTGCCAGGGTGAGCAGCAGGGGCAGGCCACAGCCCAGCACCGCCAGCGCCATGCTGTAGGCTGCGTAGGCCTCCAGGTGGTGGTCACCTGCCGTCCCCATGCACCTGGTGCAGGCCATGGGCTGGACCACTGTGCAGCCGCCTGCCTCCAGCGGCTGCTTCAGGTGGGAGAAGCTGAGCGTCGGCGAGGCCAGCAGGGCTGCCAGGGCCCAGCCTGCGGCACTGACCGCCCAGGCGTGCTTGGGCCGCAAGCTGCTGCGGACGAAGAAGGGGTGGACGATGCCCAGGTAGCGGTTCAGGCTGATGCAGGTGAGGAAGAGGACACTGCCCAGCAGGTTGCAGGTGAAGAGGAAGCGCTCCAGGCGGCAGGCCAGCTCCCCGTATTGCCAGTTTTTGGGCGGGTAGAAGTAAGCCGCCAGTGGGAGCAGCGTCAGGGCGTAGAGCAGGTCGCTGATGGCCAGCTGGGCTGAAAAGACCACAGCGGGGTGCCACGGGCGCCGTTCTCGTGTGCTGAAGCGGTAGAGGGCGAGGCCGTTGCTGGCCACGGCCACCAGGAACTCACCCACCAGCAGGGGCCACAGAAAGTTTTCCTGGAAGCCGCTAAGAACGTGATCAATGGCAGCTGAGAAGTTGGCTGGGCAGGGCTGCGCACCTATGGGCAGATGGGGTCACCCCGTGAGCACTGTCCCTCCTGGTGTGGCTCTCGCTGCCTCCAGAGCCTCTGCCCTGTGCCTGGTCATGTAAGCCCCCTAGGGACACGCTTTCTCAGTCCTTTCCCTGCCGAGGAGCCACCCGCCAGTTTACAGAGGAAACGCGCCCAGGAAGTTCAGAAGCCAAAGTCCTCCTGTGATGGTGACTAAGCTTGCGCTGGGTCCTGAACCGTCAAGAAGGGGCGTGGTCACTGCCTTCACAGGACACGTGTAAGCCAGGAGTGATAACTCAGAACCACCAGGCTTGGGGGGGGCGCCCCAGTGCCGCCTCTAAGACTTGGTGCATCAGCAAGTCTCACTGCCACCATCTTCAGAATCTGGCCCAGCCTCCCAGTTCCTGACCTCATCCCAACCCATTCTCCCCACAGTCTCCTAGGTTGTCCTGGGCTCCGCGCCCTCTTGGCTTCCTCCTCACTGGCAGGAAAACACAGTGCACGCTTCTTCCACTGAAGGGCCCCAGGAGCAAAGGCTCCCTCTCACCAGCTTGCTCTTCTCCCAGGCTCTGGGTGACTCACTCCCGACAGTCCTTCCCACACCGCCTTTCAGGCTCTTCTGCAAGGCACATTCCACCTCAGGGCCTTTGCATGCAGTCTCTTCGCCTGACTCACCAGCCCCCACTTATCTCCAGGTCTCTAACCCCAAGAGGCCCGTTCTGACTCCTCTAACATTGCGAAGGCATCCTGTCCCCGATTTCTGTAAAGCCCATACATCCACCTGACCACTGTTAAGAAAGCCTCCAGAACATCTCCTGAGGCCAGGGAGTGCCCTGCCCCTGGCTTTCCAGTGCCCAGAACGAGGCCTGGGACTCAGCCACGCAGGGAAGGATTCTCTTCCACGTACCAACTCCGCCTCAGAGGTGGGCAGACAGCCCATCCCTGGTCTCTCCAGCCGACTCTGGGCCCCTGGCTCCTGCACGCACCCCTCCCTTGCCCGACTGCTGGCCCAGCCACATTTCTGCCTCCCGGTCCAATCTCTGCTCTGGGAGGAAGTCCCTGTCCAGACGTGGTTGACTCAGCGGCCTCCACCTCCTAGGAGCCAGCCGCCCCCACCCTCCATCCTGGGCTGAGGCGCAACAGCTGAGGACCCAGGACCTCTGCTGGACTCAACCAACCCAGCAGCGTCTGCTCCTCACCTGAGGTGGTGGCAGCCATGGCCGGCGTGCCTGCTGCCCTCGAAGTGCTAGTCCCCAGTCCCCGAGTTAGCAGTGCCGCGGCCGGCCCCTCCCTTCCCTGCAGCTCCACCCACAGCCAGTTCCAGTCCTTCCACCGCCCCCTGGTTTCCTTCCTCTTCACACCCTGCCCTCCAGAGCGGGCCCCTTACAAGCTTGCAAGTAATCCTGGGGGTGCTGGGGGGAGTGGGGTGGGGGGACGCGGCAAGAGGCCCATCAGCTTCACCCGTGCAAGCGGCCCCACACTCCCGCTGCTCAGCATGGGGGAAAAGAGCGCAGGTTTGAGGCAGAATCCCATCCAACTCCCAGACTCCTGGCCATAAGCCCCTTGGCTTTATACACAGATCTCCAAGTTTCTATTGCAAATGCAGACTCAGACTTATGGGAAATCAGTCATTTACCACAGTGGGAGGTTGGGGAAACGGCTCCTTTATGAAAGGAAACCCAGGGCTACACTAGCCCAAGGCAGAATCTTGTGGGCCCCAATTTGGGGCATTCCATCTGGCGCTCCGGTTTGGCCTCAGACCGCTTTCTTAGGTGGCCGTGCTTGGCCTGGCCTGCAGTCCCAGGCAGCTCCTCTGCGTCCCAGCTTGGTCTGGCCCCGCTGGGGCCTGCTGCCCTTGGCCTTTGGAGGCCTGGAGTCAGTGCCTTGACCAGGCCTCCGCTCCTTTCCTTGCTGCTTCTTGCCTGGCGGCCCAGCACGCCGTCTTCGTTTGGCTGCCTTTGGGAACATGTCTGAGGGAAGAAAATGGTGTCAAGGCCACCACAGCACAGGGACAAGCCTAAGGTGCCCAGCTGTGGCCACCCCAGCCACATACCCTCATCGGGCTCCTCTCCCACTGCCTGGCGGAAATACTCGGCTTCGTCCTCCTCTTCCTCTGGCTGGGCGGCCCCCTCTGTCTCTGGGGGGACACCAGGGTCCTCAGCATCGCTATCCCCATCAGCCCCTGCTCGTGCCCGCTTCATGCCCGCCAGGCTCTTCTTCCTGCAAAGGGGTGGCACTGAGGGTGGCAACCCGCACCCGGGACCCTGCCTCCCCAGCACAGCCCACTGCCACGCACTTGTGCGCCTCCCGCTGCTCCCGCTTGCGCTGGACGTTTTGGGCCTGCTGGTCCTGCCTCTGGGCCTTGAGCCGCAGCTTCTCCTCCTTGGCTGCCAGGATGGCCTGGAGTTCCTCCTCAGTCTTGTGCACTGGCCAGGAAAAGACAGGTCACCCTGATCCAAGTGTGTCCGGTGCACCCCGTGACCCACCTTGGAGGGCCTCAGACTCCCAGCCCCATGGTCGGCCAGCCCCGTTCTCACCGAAACTGTGGAACAGCACGTTCCCCTCCCCCACACCCTCCTGGATTTTGATGAGCTGCAGCGTCATCCGAGGCCCAATCTGGAGAGACGAGAGACGACGAGGGGGAAGAGTCAGTTCTCCCTCAGGGCTAGGGGCTGCCAGTGAAGTTACTTCTGCCCCTAGGCCTGCCCCCGGGGCCGGGCCTCACCTCAGTGAGCCTCACAGCGCTCTGCTGGGCCCGCATGTTGCCGCGGCCCGCCACTGCCTGGGGCAGCTCTGTAATGTTGTGCTCGCCATCCGGCTCCGCCTCGCTCTCCGACAGCCCCGCGCCCCTGCGCAAAGGACACACCAAGGTCAGCAGGGGATGGCAGGCCCCCAGGACTGAACTGATCTCCCACCCAGCGCCCTCCTCACGTGGCCAACAGCTCGCTGATGTCCTGCAGACGGCTCATGTTGGGGAACTTCTCCTGTAGAAGCTTCTTCATCCCACGACTTGCGCCCACAGGAACGACTTTGATGCTACTGCAGGAGCCGGGGTGTGAGAAGGGGGGAGTCAGGAGTCAAGAAACTGACTGGAGGTCAGCTCCACCCGCCTACCCTTTCCACAGGGCGTCAGAGCGTTTACTTTGAGACCGAGCAATCACAGCGCCTCAGCCGCACGTGAGGCCCCACCCACCCTTCGCAGGACTCACTAATGCCGGAAATCCAGCTCCTGGGAGTCGGGACTGTAACTGATGAGAAGGCAGCGCTTGACGGTGTTTAGGTTCACCTGGGGGGGGGGGCAGGGCACATGGAACCACGTGAACCACCCACAGGCTTCCCTGCATGGCACATCAAGCCCAGGCCATGGCCACTCCAGGAATCCCCAGCAAGGGTGCACGGGGTGCTGCTAGCGCTGGGGGCCTAACGCACTGGCTGGGCTGCTGGCTTGAAATCCTGGTTCTGAGGCCTGTGCACACCAGACTCCCTGATGATCAGCATCTAACAGCCCAGTGTGAAACCTGCTGGTACCAGACATTAGGAGCTGGGACCCTGGAACCAAACAAGTTAAAAAATCCAGTCCTGGGGTGCCTGGGTGCCCAAACGTCTGCCTCTGGCTCAGGTCATGATCCCAGGATCCCTGCTCAGTGGGGAGCCTGCTTCTCCCTCTCCCTTTAACCCTCCCCCGGCTCCTACTCTCTCTGTTAAATAAATTTTAAAAATCTTATTTAAGGGGCGCCTGGGTGGCTCAGTGGGTTAAAGCCTCTGCCTTCAGCTCAGGTCATGATCCCAGAGTCCTGGGATCGAGCCCCGCATCGGGCTCTCTGCTCAGCGGGGAGCCTGCTTCCCCCTCCCTCTCTGCCTACTTGTGATCTCTGTCAAATAAATAAATAAAATCTTAAAAAAAAAAAAAAAGAAACATTAAAAAAAAAAAAAGTCTGTCTTCCGCTCAGGTCATGATCTCAGGGTCCTGGGATCGAGTCCCACATCGGGCTCTCTGCTCAGCAGGGAGCCTGCTTCCTTCTCTCTCTCTCTGCCTGTCTCTGTTTGCAATCTCTGTCAAATAAATAAATAAATACTTTACAAAAATCGTATTTTAAAAAAAAGGCATTTCACTCTTTTTTAAGAAAGATTTTATTTATTTATTTGACAAAGAGAAACATCACAAGTAGGCAGAGAGGCAGGCAGAGAGAGAGGAGGAAGCAGGCTCCCCGCTGAGCAGAGAGCCCGATGCGGGGCTTGATGCCAGGACCCTGGGATCATGACCTGAGCCGAAGGCAGAGGCTTAACCCACTGAGCCACCCAGGCGCCCCTCAAACTATTTTTCTATCTTAAGATGGAGTCACAACACCTACCACACTGCTCAGCCCAACACTCAATACACATCCGAGAAATAAAGGATGGTCCGCATCATTTTCCATCTTCCGGAGAGTAAGGCAGGTCATGAGGGAGCCTCTTACCCCAGTGTCACAGAACACAAGGGTGAGACTGGACCTCAGGAGCTGGAGCTCTGAGCCTCAATGCTGGGAGGTGAAGACTGAGCAAAAACCCCAGGGCCTATGTGTGGTACCTACTATACTGTCTGCCCATCCACTCTTACCTGCCACCACACCAGGATCCGCTCACCTTGTGCACATTGATGGAGGGGAACAGGTTCTGGAACATGGTGGCCATGAGCTTCACGTGCATACCATGGGGACCGAAACTGTTGAGGACCAGGAGGGGCGGGTGGGCAAACTGTTGCTCGTGCATGCGGTGTCGGCGCAAGGAGGAGACGACGTCCCGCACTAACGTGTACTGCAGGACAGGGCGAGGAGTGGGTGCCTGCCGACCACATGCGGCTGGCACCACCCCAAACCCATCCTCTACCCAACATGGCCCTCCTACCACCTCCAAACCTTACCTTGTTGATCCGGAAGGTCAAGGTGGGGCCTCCCGGGAGCCGCATCAGCTTCTACAGAAAAAACAGCTGGTAAGAGTCGAGGCGTTCAGCTAGGGAGCAGGGAGTGGGAACCTCTGCTTAACTCTTCAGAGCGTTTACTTTGAAGCCAGAATCATGGCAACTCAGAGGCGTATGGGTTCATCATGAGAGTTGGGGGAGGAAGAGGGGAGGGAGAAGATTAGGGCTGTGGGTATTAACTCACAAAGTAGATGTTGGTCTCCGTTTTACTCAAGATCAGGAAGTGTGTGACCCCAAGGGGCCCAGCCACTGCCACACAATCCTTCAGAGTGTTTTTCTTTCGTATCTGAGAATTGCAAAAACAAATTGGAAGCATCATAAATCTCTCTTCTGGAGCAAAGACTGTAAGCTGAAGCTGTTATGCCCTTCCTTTGCATTTAATTTTTCCGAGAAAGAGAAGAAAGGAGTGGAATGCGCTCGACCTCTAGAACTAATCAGACTTGAATTCGTCCCTTGTATACTGTGCACCGCCCAGTCCGCAGATGATCCAACTGGGCCGTGCGACGTTAACTTCCCCAGACCTTTAAGAGAGGCCGTTTCCATCCGAGTCACTAAACCACCAGCCTTAAGCATTCAGGCAAGCCCCAGCTGAGCGCGTTCATCCGCTGCCCCCACACATCCCTAAGTGGCCGAGACGATGTTCCCCATAGAGCTCCCTTTCTCCACCCGAGACTGAAGCCACGCGGGGTTCCGCGGTTGAAGCCACCTCCGCCGCCGCGAAGACCTGGCCCGTGGCTGATGTAGGCGGGGTGGGTGGTGCAGACCTGCAGGCGGGTGGCGGTGAGGGGCTCCATGACCCTACGCAGATCCAGGCTGAGCTGCCGGACGCCGCGGCCTGCGCGACCCCGCGCGAACACGAACGAGTGTGGCTGCGCGGCGTAGGCCTCGAGGTTGCGGAGCTGCGCCTGGGCGCGCGCACGCTTCTGGTGCCGGGACTGCGGAGGTGAAAGGCGAGCGGTCAACGCCACGGCCGCCGGGGGGACCCCGCCAGCCCCACCCGCTCCCCCGGCCGCAGCGTCTCACCCGCCCCGACTGCCCCATGCCGCCAACTCCTCCACCAGGATCCTTCTGCCTTGTGCTTCCGGCGCTGCGCCGCTTACTTCCGCCGCCGGCGTGGTGATCACGTGGGGCGGCACGCGCGGTGCAGACGGGCATGCGCACCAGGTAGCGGCAGGCAGGAATCCGCGGAGGGGTTGCTATGGAGACACCTGGTGCTTGTTTCTACGGAAACCGGGCGGGGCTAGCGTCTCGGGGAAGCAGCTTGGGCTGCAGAGAAATGAACCCTGGTTCATTTCGAATCCTTCGAATTCCAAGGTTCGAATCCTTCCTCGGCCCATTTACACCAGCTGGGTGAATTTGAGAGCCAATTTATCCACTCCAAGGCTCCCACAAGTGTCCTAAAGTGAGGATGGTGATCATTTCTCCTCTGACCCATTTAAAAAGATGATGTATGCACAATGCTTGGCACGCCAGCACCAGGCCCTTGAGGAACAACCAGAGAAATGGGTAGAGCGTGGCAGTTAGACATGTGGGCCTCAGCTCCTGAGGGCCAGCTGTCTTCCCCGGAGGCCCTGTCTGTGGCTAAGAGATGGAAACTCCACATCACCTTCTGGAAACTTAGGGCAAGGCGGGAGCTTTGTGAATAACTCACCTCCTCCTGGTTTCCGCTCAAAGCCCCAGTCTTGGCCTCAGGCCTCTGGCTTCTACCCCAGAACCTTGGGGTGGGGGAAAGGGACGCCCCCAACGTCTTTTTCCCTGTCCCATTGGTTTCCTTCCCCCATAAGCTTCCCCTCCCTCAGCTGTCTCCCCTCCCCCATTTGCTTCCCCTATGCTGGTTCTCCTCCCCAATTCTTTCCCCTTTTCTCTCCTCTGTCTTTCCCTTCCCATCCCTGTCTTCTTCCTATCTCTGTCTGCCTCTGCCCCAGCTTTGTCTCTGCCATCAGTTGTCTCTCATTGCCTTCAAGTTTTGATCTCTCCTGTCTCTGTCTCTATCCCCTTTTCTCTCTTCACATCCCTCTTTCTGACTCCCCCTGTCTCTGTCCATCTCCCCCATGACTCTCCCCTCCTCTGTTTCTTGGACTCTCTCTCCCTTCTGTCAGTCCTTCTCTATGACTTATGAGGTTTCTTCTCTGCTGCCAATGGAGGAAGCTGGAGGGGACTGCGGGTGGGGGGCCATGGGGCCCAGTGTGGGGGGGCCCCAGCCCAGGCCTGGAGCCCAGCCTGGCAGCCTCTCTCAGATCTGGGACGACCATTTCCTCTTTCAGCCCGGGAGTCCACTCGGGTTACGAGTTCAGGACGGTAGGAACTGGGCGAAGAGGACTGCTTCCTGAGACTGTGTCTAGAGGTCGGTGAGGCCTTTGTGCAGGTGGGAGACCCTAGTCCAGGCTCTGGGGGGCTATACGTGAGTCTCTTTGTACCTCTGAGAAATGACTGCATGCTTACTTTTGCCTGTTTTGTCCCTGCAAGATTTGGCCTGCGGATGTGAAGCTGTGTGTGGGAGACAAATGGGAACATGTTCACTGTGGCGGGCAGGTGGGCGGGTGCCAGGGGTTCACTGTACACCTAGTTAGCACCTCTGTGCTTGCCAGCGTGAGACCCTGTGTGCCTGGGTGTGTATGTGTCTGACACAGAACAGATGTACTCCACCCACAGGGTGTTTTCCTTTAAGTCGTGGTGTGTGTGTGTGTGTGTTTGTGACTATATTTTGGACACACAGTTGCTGCTGGAATCTGTGCTTTGTTTCCAGGTGTGTCTTTATATGTGCCCATGCCAGGCAAATCCGCAGATACACACACACACACAAACACACACACACACACACACAGATTCCATCTGTCTATCTTTGTGGCTCTGTGCAGGGGTCCCCATGTCTCGTTGGATATCCGTGTGTCTCTGTGTCTGCACTGTTACAGGCGCCTGGGTATGTGTGAGGGTTGTGGTTATTCGTGTGTGAATGTTGGAGCCAAGTTACCGGGGCTGAGTCCCATCATTCTCCAGCCATGTGGCTGCAGACAAGTCACTCACCCTCTCGCACACTCAGTTTTCCCTGTTGTAAAATGCGGCTACCTACAGAAGAGACCAGCGCTGGTTTTGGAAGACTGAGATTAAAGGTGTGGAGTCGAGAGTCGTGTCTGATGCAGCAGGTGCTGCTGATCTGATGTCTGCTGTCGTTGTCTTTCTCTCTGGTGTGTGCGTGTCGGAGGTTGGAATCCCGCTAGCCTCCCAGGGCCTGCAGCCTCCCACGCTCTGTGCTCTGCTGTGGGGGAACGTCCGGAATGCTGACCTGTGTTATCAGGCTCTGGTGGCCTGGGCAGGGGGATCTGGCAGTTCTGCCTCGGTTCTCATGCGGGAAATGCTAAATATTTACAGTTGGAACTCCCGGGCTCAGCACCACAGCTCTCATCCCAGGCTCTGGGGCGACCAGCCTCCTCCCTCCTGCTCTCCCACCAGCCTCTCCCCATCCTCACTTAGGCGCTCCTGTTGGACCTTCAGCTGCTCCTGGGTCTCCTTGTGCCTGCTTCAAGCCTTGCCAGACGCAAGGTCTTGGTCCTGAGAGGTGAGAGGTGAGAGGGCGGGAGGGCAGGAGAGCAGGTGGAGGCTGATTTTGTCTGTTGGGAGACCTGGGCTTCCCTAGGCCTCCCTCTTACCCCGGGTTGAGATCCTGGAAGGCAGGGGATGTTGCACATATGCAATCTGGCTCCAAGGGGGGTGGTCCATCCCTGTTGTGGGGGGCCTGGTGTCTTCAAGGAGGGGGCAAGGAGAGCTCTTGTTTGGTGTGCAACTATGAGGGTGAGCAAGCCTTTCTCCAGCTCAAAACCCTCCGGGATTCCCACCTCACTCAGGGAAAAAGCCCAGGTCCTCTTGAGACCCACAAAGCCCTGCCCATTTTGCCCCGTTCCCTCCCTGCCCTCAACTCCTCCCGCTCTACCCCTTGCTCACTCTGTTCCAGTCTTACAGGCCTCCCTGATGTTCCTTGGGCACATCAAGCAAGGTCCTAGCTCAGGGCCTTTGCACTTGCTGTTCCCTCTGACAGGAATGTTCTTACCCTTCTCTCTTTCTACAGGTCTTTGCTCGAGTGGCATCTTCTTCCCCCTTTTTTTTTTTTAAAGATTATTTATTTATTTGAAAGACAGAGATCACAAGTAGGCAGAGCAGCAGGCAGAGAGAGAGAGGAGGAAGCAGGCCCCTGCTAAGCAGAGAGCCCGATGCGGGGCTCGATCCCAGGACCCTGAGATCATGACCTGAGCTGAAGTCAGAGGCTTTAACCCACTGAGCCACCCAGGCGCCCCTCAACTGGCATATTCTTAGTGAGTCCTGACCCCGTTTAAAATGGCCCCTCATCCGGGGACTCCCACCCCCTTCCTTGAGTGTTCTCCTAAACACTTATCACCCTCTGCCCTCCCCCCCATCTGCTTTCCCCACCGAGATGTTGGCTCCATGAAGGCAGGAATTTTTTTGTGTGTCTGTAATGGTCATGGCTGTGTCCCCATTGCCTGGAACAGCTCTCAGCACACAGTAGGCATTAAAGGAGTGCTTGGTCAATGTGTGAACAAGGCAATGTGAGTGACAATGAAGACCCCAGGGCACGAGCCTGTGTGACCACCAGGATGTCTGGCTTTGGACATAGTGGGACTTGGAAAATACAGGGGTGATGTGTGGACATCTGTGACATGTTCTGAGTGTGGGCAAGTGCATGCGGGAGGCATATATGTCCTTAGTCTGAGAGGCTGTAGGTAGGTGAATCCCAAGAATGAAGGCCATGGGGGCCAGGCTAGGAGGTCTCCGTGCATGCCCTCAAGGGAAGATAATTACAGGAGCTCACCTATGTGAGCCAGGGAACACGTGGGAGGATGTAGCTGACCTGGGGCTTGTGGGTGCTGAGGGGTGTATGGGTGGCACAAGGCACAGGACAAAACCCAGACTCAGCCTCTGAGAGCTGATGTTTTGGTGGAGGAATTCAGATCATAAACAATGGCAAACAAGTGAGGCAATTTCAGAGTGACAAATGCTGAAATGAAAAAGTTGGACTGTGACAGGGAGCGCCCAGGAGGAGCAATGCTAAATGGGGTTGTCAGGGAGGGCTTCTGAGGAGGGGACATGTGAGCTAAGACCCAAATAAGGAAAGAGGGGGAGCCATGT